GTGTGTGTGTGTGTGTGTGTGTGTGTGTGTGTGTGTTTGTATTTGTGTTTCTCTTTCCTTATTTATCCGACTTCAACATTCTTCTTTATATATTACAGTTTGCTTATTCTTAAATCTTTCCATTGATACATCTATTTTACAAATTTTGTATTTGCCTTCTTGTCTATTCATAAGTTTCTTGGTCTGTTCTTCCATCCATCCATCCATCCATCCGTCCATCCATCCATTCCATCCATCCATCCATCCATCCATCCATCCATCCATCCATCCATCCATCCATTCATCCATCCATCCATCCATCCATCCATCCATCCATCCATTCACCCTTCTGCCTTTGTGTTTTCATCAATGTCTTTTTCTAATATGATGGGAAGGAAGGATAGAGCCATAAAGATTTTCTTTTTCACTTGGGTTTCAGGTTACGGTTTAGCATGCTCATAGCAAAATCGGCGGGATGCAGAAATCATTTTTATTATGTACTGTTTAATTACAAAGAATGTATGGTCGCTTTTAAGCACAAGGGGGCTATCCCGAAAAATTATGTTTTGAGAAAATGTAAGGAAAATTTTTTGCCCCTTGTTCAGTTTCTTTAAAAGACCAGGAGAGTTTTCTCTATAACCAAACAAATATAGGCACCGATGAAACTAAAATTGTTCTAAAGGTAGAACAATGCCCACTTTTGGTGTAGGTCAAGATTTCTGGAAACCCCCGAAATCTGGGTTATCTCGCTTGTCCTTAAAAACGGCTATATATGCTTAACAACAAATATGGGGCTTGAAATTATGTTTGCCCTGTATGTCTGTTAGACTGTTATATTAAACCTCTCTTGCCTGTATCACCACCCAGTGTCTGACAGAGGGATAGCAGGGTGTGTCCAGGTGGCTGGCTGTGCTCGTTCATTATTCTCCCACTTCAGGCTGGCTGCCCAGGCATCATTATCATCTTTTCTCCCCCCGTGCCGGAGTTAAGGCCACCAACATGAGTTTTCTATTTTACTTTTGTCCTGGGCTATTATCTTGAACTTTGTACAGCTCTATCCCATCTCCTCTAGGTCCTTCCTACAAGTACTTATAGGCCTTCCTTTCTTTCTCTTTCCTTGGGGGCTCCATCTGAAGGTTGGGGTGGGGGGTAATGTTTGTTTGTTGTGGGGTTTTTTTCAAATTATGTCCTATCCATTTTCATTTTCTCTGGTATAAACATTGGTAGCAAGTGTTGTTAACTTAGGAAATTCATGGTTCTAATTCAATTTAATTTTGAATTTATCCCCCCCCCCCCTAATCTTCGACTAGTCTTCAGTTGTGAACTTCAGTGTGAAGTCCATTGGTGAAAATGCCCTTAGTCTAGGTTTAGATGTATTTTGAACTTCAACTAGAAATGTATCAGATTTCTTCTTCTTGTCGTTTATCTCTAAATGGATTATATCCCAGTCTCTAATGCAAAGGCAACTGTTCGCTGCAGGTCCTTCAAGCCCCTGTAAAGTTTTGGGTTTTTCTCTGCCTTGGGGTTAGACCTATTTTCTTCTAAGTGCTCGAGCATTGGGCAGGCTTGTAGCCGACGGTTCCCTGTTTGGTCGCCAATTCCACACTAATACTGCTCTCAGCTACTGAATAGATGAGACTCTGTGTTACACAAGTTTAGAATTTATCTAATTTCGGACATTTACCTCATCCCCCCTCCCCCTCCTTCCCCCACCCCACCTCAGGATGTGAAGTTGGCAATGCCATCATGTTCCCCCTCGGAGGCTACGTCTGCAGTGGTTTGGGCTGGTCTGCCGTTTTCTATTTCACAGGTACGTTTTTCTAGTGTTTTGTTTTTCTAATACGCCTTCTAAACACAGTCCAGATACTTGAAACAAAGCAATGAGGGATACGATAAAAATAAGAACATAAAAGGTGAGATAAAACAGGATACCGATAGTATAGTATTCGCTTCCATCACCACCACTACCACAACTGCTACTACACAGCTATCACTAATACCACAGCAACTTGTTCCATCACCATCACTACCACCACCACTTCTGTCTTTTATTCCACCCCTTTTACTTCATCACCACCACATCCACTGTTAGCGCAGTGGGACTACTTGCCCAAAACGGCCACTGATTACGGAAGAGAAAAATAGTTTTCTTAGACAGATGGATGTCTTGGAGAGTGTCATTATAACATAGATAAAAACTAAAGGGGGAAGGGGGAAGTGGTCGTTTGTACAGGCAATTGTCTTGGACAAGTGGCCCTCAGAGCTGGCACAATTGTACTGTCTCACCTATGACGATTCACATTTTATTTTTCAGGAGCCTGCGGAGTTGTGTGGTGTTTGGTGTGGTGGCTATGTGCCAGAGACTCTCCGGCTGAGTGTCCCCGCATCTCTGCAGCAGAGAGGGAATACCTGGCCCGCAGGGTACCTCATCGGGAGAGCAAAACAAGAAAATCAGTAGGTAAAGCTTCACACAGAGAGAGAGAGAGAGAGA